GGGGGGAGCGGAGGGTCGGCCTTGCGGAGGCCCAGCAGGAGAGGAGAAAAGCTGGGCGAGATGGAGGCAGGATTCGCACCCGGCTCCCCGAGGGCCCGGTCCTGTCTCCGGAGGGGGAGAGAAGCTGGGAGGCCTCTTCAGCTGCCTTCTTCTCGGCACTGCTTGGAGGGGACCTCGGCCCTGCGCTAGGATGAGCCGCTTGGGGCTCCGGGCAGGTTAGGTCAAGGTTGCTCAGTGGCTTAATTCCACTTTCAAACAATTTGCAGGGATCCGTTGTGCAGTCCCAGAAATGATCCTTTGAAGGAAAAGGCACCTGGAGATCCACGAGAGTCCTTGGACCCATTTGGAGCTGCTCTGCCGAAAAGAGGAAGGATGGAGACACAACCTTTTGCAAAGGAAGGAAGCGGAAAAGTCTCTTCAGCTGTTCAGCCTGCAAAGGGTGGGGAGATCTGGACCAGAACTGGGCAGAAGATCCTGGAGGAAGAAACAATCCTCCGTTCAGAAGTTCAGACCTGGAACGTCATCCAATACCAGGACGCTGAGGGTCCTCGAGGATTTTGCAGCCGACTCCATGACTTTAGTAGGCGATGGCTGGGACCAGAAAAGCACACCAAAGCCCAGATGCTGGACCTGGTGGTTCTGGAGCAGCTCCTGTTCCATCTGCCCCCAGAGATGGAGAACTGGGTGCGGGAATGTGGAACAGAGACCAGCTCCCAGGCAGTGGCCCTGGCAGAAGGCTTCCTCCTGAGCCAGGCAGAGGAGCAGAAGGAGCAGGTAAAGTTGCAGGTGAGACAATTTAGGGAGCTCCAAAGGGAATAGAGAATGTGTTTGAATACTTCACTCCTCTTTCCCAAACTTCTCTGACAATAATATGCGTTGATATCCCACCAATTCTTGTAGGACACTGTTCCACTGTTTTCTCACTCAGCCACAATGGATGGATATTGAGGTCTTTGACGTTGAGTTCCGAATATAAGAATCCACTTCATGTCATGTGGTGTACATTAATTCTTTTTTCCTTCTTCCTATTTGAAGGGCTGCACTGTGGAGATCAGAGATCCTGAGGGAAAGAAGAACCCATCAAATTCCCCTCAGGAGCTATTTTTTAGGAGGATCCCTTGGGAAGATCCAAGTCAGGACACTGCAGGAGGTAACAGAAGATCCTCCAATTACCCTTCTCTCTTATCTTCGGTCTCTATTCTCTTTTATAGAATACCTCCTATTTTATTACGCATTTTGAAATTATTTATTCCTTACAGACAAACAAAGAATGAAGTTTTCTGGTTTTTATGACGGAGATCAAGTAGCGGTTGAATCTCCAAATCAAGTAAGAAAGGGAAAAGTTATTAAATTTGTATTCTCCCTTCAGGAAGTAAAATGGGTGTATGGAGTGCTCTCCTTCTATTCCCCCCCACCTTGTTTGGACTGGATTATTTTTGTGTTCTTCCACAACATGGACGTCACAATAGCAGGTTCAAGTTGGCTTCCTCTGGTTATCTTGTTCTGCTATGTACTCCTCCAACTTTGCGTTTACAAGAAGCACTTCTTTTGAAGTCCTTCAAAAATTAGGAATAAATGTATCACAATGGCAGGAATTGTTAGACCCTTGTTCTTTTTGTAATTTATCAACCTCAAAAGGTACACATTAACAGATTTGGAAAGTACCTTGTACGTCATCTAGTCCAACCCCACTACACCATTTCTAAGAATTGGCAGTCTAGTCTCTTCTTGAAAGCTCCCATTGATGAAGCTCCCACAATTTCTGAAGGAAACTTCTGTTCCATTGGTTGATTGCTTTCACTGTCAGAAAAAGGTCTATTTATTTCCAGGTTGAATTTCTCCTTGTTCAGTTTCCATCCATTATTCCTTGCCTGGCCTTCAGGTGCTTGACCCCCTCGTCTCTGTGCCAGCCCCTCAAACATTGGAACACTGCTATCATGTCTCCCCTGGTCCTTTCCTTCACTAGATTAGCCATGTCCAATTCCTTTAACTGTTCATTGCATGTTTTAACTTCCAGTCCCTTAATTATCTTGGTTGCTCTTCTCTGCACTCTTTCTAGAATCATAAGATCTTTTTTAAATTGTGGCAACAATACTGAATGCAGTATTCCTAAGTGAGGTTCTACCAAGTCATTTTAAAGTGGTATTAACATTTCATGTGATCTTGATTCTATCCCTCTCTTAATGCAGCCTATGATTCTGTTGGGATTTTTTGGCAACTGTAGCACACTACTGGATCACGTTTAAGCTATCGTCAATTAGGGCTCCAAGATCCCTGTTCTACTTACTACTTTTGAGCCAAGTATCTCCTATGCCCATGCATTTGGTTTTTCTTTCCTAAATGTAGTACATTACATTTCTCACCATTGAATTTCATTGTGTTAGAAGGTGCCAATCTGTTGATCCTTCTATATCTCGAGCGTATCTAGTGGAGTGTTGGTATTCCTGTCAGTTTGGTTTTGTTTGCAAATTTGATGTGTTCCCCTTCTATTTCCTTGTCTAAATCATTGATGAAGTTGAACTTATCTTGCTGTTCTTTCTTTCCTCCTGTTCTTTCTTTTTACCTATGCAAGGGTCCTCTTTGTGGACTATAGTTAAGCATTCAATACCATCATTCCAGACATTCTTGTGACTAAATTAAACCAGCTAGCAGTACCCGAACATACTTGTAAGTGGATCCTAAGCTTCTTAAGAGACAGGAAGCAGCAGGTGAAGCTAGGCAGAATCACATCTGATACCTGTACAATTAGCACAGCCCCTCCAAGGCTGTGTGTTTTTACCACTTCTCCCTATATTCCAATAACTGCATCTCAAACGATCCATCTGTTAAAATACTGAAGTTAGCAGATGATACAATAGTTATTGGTCGCATTCAAGACAACAATGAATCTGCATACAGACGGAAGGTTGTACAATTTGCCTTGTGCAACCGGAACGTGGAACTGAACACACTCAAAACCGTAGAAATGGTGGTAGATTTTAGGAGAAATACTACCACCTCTTACAATACTAGACAACACAGTAGAGACATTCAAATTTCTAGGTTCTATCATATCACAAGATCTAAAATTGACACCTAACATCAAAAACGTTAGCAAAAAAGCACAACAAAGAATGTTCTTTCTGCGCCAACTCAGAAAGCTCAAACTGCCCAAGGAGTTGCTGATTCAGTTCTACAGAGTAATTATTGAGTCTGTATCTGCACCTCCATGACTGTCTGGTTTGGTTTGCAACCCAACAAGACAGACACAGACTGTAGAAAAAACAATTACTACCAATCTGCCTTCCATTGAGGACCTGTATACAGCACGAGTCAAAAAGAAGGCTGTGAAAATATTTACAGACCCCTCACATCTTGGACATCAACTGTTTCAACTCCTACCGTCAAAATGATGCTATAGAGCACTGCACACCACAACAGCTATAGAGTTTTCCCCCAAATGCCATCATTCTGCTAAACAAATAATTCCCTCAACACTCTCTATTTACAATGTCTGCATTAGTATTAAGATAAAACCTCCCATCCTTCCTTTCACCCATCTCCTCCCACTTATGATTGTATGACTGTAACTTTGTTGCTTGTATCCTAACCATTTTATTGACTGTTTCCGAGTATGATTTGATTGCCTATTGTACCCTATGACTATTATTAAGTGTTGTACCTTATGATTCTTGACAAATATATCTTTCTTTTATGTACACTGAGAGCATATGCACCAATACAAATTCCTTGTGTCTCCAATCACACTTGGCCAATAAAGTATTCTATTCTATTCTATTTTTTTCATGTTCAGGGGAGTCCGGTGTCCTTTGATGAGGTAGCTGTGTATTTCTCTGAGGAAGAATGGTCTCAGCTGGATCCTGACCAAAAAGCGCTACATTCTGAAGTCATGCTTGAAAACCATAGGAACGTGGTCTCTTTGGGTAAGAGTTTTCTTGTCCAAAATCAGAGATTTCAAGAAAGCAGATTATGGTTACTATTTATTAAAAAAATCACTAATCAGATACCATCTCTTCCAGTGATGGGATTCAAATATCTTTTTACTACCGGTTCTGTGGGCATGGCTTATTTGGTGGGTGTGGCTTGGTGGTCATGTGACTGGGTGGTCATGGCTTGGTGGTCATGTGACTGGGTGGGCGTGGCCAACTCAACATCACTCATGTCAAGGGGTGTTTCGTCCAGTACCTCCCCTCCCAACCACTCGTTATTCTCAGCCTCAATGTATCTTCTGTAAAAAAAAAATAATCACTTTTTTTTTACTTTATTATCTGCATCCACATACTATATATGTACTTTTATGGACCACTGAAAGGAGGAAATGGCTCACATGCTTTGCCCAAGTAGTGTGATAGGCAGGTCACAAAATAGGGTTTAGGTGTTGCCACAAAGAAGGGGGGGACAATGTATTTTCCAAAGCAGCAGAAGGCAAAACAAGAAGCAGTGGATCCAAACTGAACAAAGAAGAAGCAACCTAAAATTAAGGAGAAATTTCCTGACAGTGAGAACAATTAACCAGTGGAACTGCTTGTCTCCAGAAGTTCTGGATGCTCCAACCCTGGAGGTTTTCAAGATGAGGCTGGACAGTCATTTCTCTGAAATGGTATCAGTCAGGCAACCTTGGCAACTTTAAGACTTGTGGACTTCAACTCCCAAAATTCTGGTAGGAATTCTGGGAGTTGAAGTCCAGAAGTCTTAAAGTTGCTAAGGTTGGAGACCCCTGGTATAGGGTCCCCTCCAAAGATTATTCTGACACCTTTGCCTGGCCCTCCATTCAGACTTGGCATCCTCAGTTTTCTTGCCTGAAAAGAGGGTTGGACTAAAAGACCTCCAAAGTCCCTTTCAATTCTGTTATTCAATTATTCCTAAGTTAAATAGCTAAGACCCTCATTGGGACCCTCTCTCTTTTGCTCCCTCTGGTCTAATGGGTTAATAAGATTTTTAGAAACCTGCAGTTGAAAATTCTTTGTCTCCTTACACTGAAGACCCAATTTCATTTGGAATTTAATCCCAAACTGATTGCCCTTTTAGCATTTCTCTTGATACTTCTCCAAAATGCGCCCCCAAGAAGCCATATCTCTCCCCCCCCCGAGGTTGGATCCCAATCCTATTCAAGAACAAAGTTGTCATGAAATGTGACTCAAAGAATCCTAGGGTACAGGTGATCCCTGAGTTATGACAGTTCACTAAGCCAGTGGTTGCCAAACAGTGGGCCATGGCCCACTGGTGGTCTGTGAAAAAATCTTGGTGGTCCACAGAGAAATGTCCCCCCCAAAGCAATTAATCCAGGCTGCATGGGAATACAAGGCTATGCTGCCCACATAGCCTACCCATCCACTGGTCCCCACCCTTCGGCTGAACGCAAACCTGCAAAAAGCAGCGCATTTCTCACCAGCCAGGACGAGATAATGGTGCTATTGCAGCAAGAGGCGGCTGGCGGCACAGGCAGGCTGAAGCATTGATGATGATGACTGGAAGGTTCAGGAGCACCATGTTACTTGCATTTGCACAGCACTCCCATATCTTCCAGCTTGCCTTTCCTGCCCTGGGCTCTTCCTTGATAGTTGCGGGCTGTAGGAACGGCTCAGGGCAGGAAAAGTACCTGCTGGTGGTGGTAGAAGGGGGCAGAGTGGGCAAGTTTACGCTCACCATCCAGTTCAAATGTCTTTTGAATCCCAGCAGTATTAAATCCTCCCTCTTTCCCCTGAAAGGATGAGAGAACCCCTCCTTCCCCTTCGCTCTGCCCCAGTTATAATTAATTAATTTATGATTTTGTTATATTTAAATAAGGATTTTTATATACATACATACATACATACACTTTCAAATATTAAATTTATGTTTAATATAAAAATAAAATTTTATGTTAAATATTTTTTAAAATATTTTTTTAAAAATTTAAATATATTTTTTTTAAAAATTCACATTAGTGGTCCTTGGGATTTAAAAGTATGAGTTTGGTGGTCCCTGAGGTCCAAAAGTTTGATGACCGCTGCACTAAGTGACTGTATCAAGTTACGACCTAGCCCAAGAACTTAAGACTCAGTTCTGAAATTACAAATGCTGCAGCACCACAGCTGTTATTTACACTTACAAATGGCAGCAGAGGCTCTGCAACAATAATCACCCTACCTATAACCCCACCCCACTCTGCTTGGATTTACATTGCGACGATGTAGTGATTCTTTTGCCTGCTTTGGTGCATTTGCAGAAAGAAAAGGCCTAATGTAGTGAGAGATTGCCGAGATCAGTAGTGGAAATATCACACTAAAGATCTCACGTGATCTCGCACTACAGTACTTTAGGCCTCCGTTCTCTGCTAACCAAGGCCTACATAATGCCCAGGGCAAAATCCTTTGCAAACAGAGGGAAGGCCTCTTCGTTTTCAAAGACTTTTGTCCTGGATCTCGTGTAGTCCTCAGTTCTTAAAAGAACAGAGGCCTAAAGTACTGCAGTGCAAGATAATATGAAATTAGTAGCCTGAGATCTTGCACTATTGGTCTCGTGATATCTCACACTAAAGTAGTTTAGGCCTCCATTCTGTGCGAACAGATGCCTGTACCAGATCTGGCCAAAAAACCCCTTGCAAGCCAATGAGATGAAATAGCCATTCTTGAAGCCTCCCATACTTTCCAGTCTAAGCACAAATAGTGTTTACAAGCCAATGGGAGGCTTCAAGCAAGGGACTTCACTCCAAAGTCTCATCACTGGGATCAAGGAATGTACCGAGTGGGAGTCTTGCCTGCCAGACAGTCATGCAGCGCTGGTCCAAGGTGCATCGAGGTAGAAGAAACTTAAAAATTGTTTCAGTTCTCACTGGTATCTACTGAAATTAACCCACCTCAATAAATCAATCAATAAAACAAAATAAATAAAGCTTAGGACAGTGCTGGCTCTTCCTTTGTATCGGAGATGAGCACCACCCCTTAGAGCTGGAAACAAGTAGCATGTATGTGCGAAGGGAACCTTTACCTTTAATAAAGTTTTCTCGTAATTCTTCCTTGGATGTTTCCCGTAATTATTCCTTAACTCAAAACAGACATTGTGAGATTTGCATATATAGAGATAATTGTAAAGAATGAGATGTTTTCTAGATATTTTCAAAGCTTTCATGACTAATTTAGAAATCATCGACTTCCGGTTTGAGCTTCTTCGGCGATGGACTGAATCTGCGATCGTGCACGGATTCAATCGAGTGAATCGAGTGCCCTGAGCCAGCTGGATTTGGGGCTAAGCCATCCCGTAGAGGTGGTGAAGAGGGGGGAAACCGCCAGCAGGCCGAGGAGAGCCGCACCTCTCCTCCTCACCTG